CTGACCTTGGACTGTTCAAAACGACATCTATACTAATATTATAAAGTTTCTAACATTGTTTGTATTGTTGTTTGTTTGTAAGAGGTAATCTTCGGAAATACTGTTCCGTTGACTAAAATTGTTTTACCTACGGGAATCTACGTCATACTCGGGTGCTATAGGCTATAAATTACACAGGAAAACAACTATATTATACATAGTAAACTGTTTTGTCATCTACATATACTACTACATATTATAATGTTATAAAGCAGGACAAAGCCTTTATTTGAAGATATATCGAGAATTAGTTACATGAGTACCATTATTGACTTTTTTCCTTATGTTCATAAATTTTGAGACAAACTTTTTACTGAAAAAATAAAATAAAATGTTACTGAATGTTGTTTTTTAACCAATTTTAAATTTGGAATGTTAACTTTTTGTTTATTTGTATCGCAAATTCGTTTGATATATTTTCTCGTGATGGAGGGAACGAAACAATTACGTGCAACTGTCATTTCGCTATTTAAGGCGGGAAAAAAATCGATGCAGATTTTCCGAGAGCTGAAAAGTTTTCCTGTAAGCCGTAACTTTGTCTATTACACAATACAGTGATACAAAGAGAAATTTCTTTGCAAGATTGCCAGAGGAGTGGCCGGCCACCCTCTGTGAGGACGCTTGCGATCATCAAAATCTTTGACTTTGCAGAAATACACGTAGTTCTCAGAAGAAACTCGCTCTGCAGACTAATTTTTACGCGTTTCAGTAAGCCGTAGAAAAATTCACTTTTTAAACGATCTTCTTCGTAAGTTACGATGCGAACGTTGTCCATTTCAACCGATAAAACAATAAAGTACCAATAGTAATAAGTAAATAGATGTCCCAGATTCTGCATGGAATGTCTCGCGCACTCATCATCCGGCTAGTGTGATGGTATGGTAGGGAGTTTCGTATGACGATGTCAACGGAGCGGATCCATTTCTGCCAACAAGGTGTCAATATGAAAGCCAAGAATTATCAGAGTGACATTATAGAGCCCGTAGTGAAACCCCTGTCTTATACGTTATTTCACAATAAGGATTGGGTTTTTCAGCAAAACTCGGCGCCATCCCATAAGGCAAAAAACACCCAAGTTTGGTTGAGGGAAAATGTGCCAGCCTTCATTGTGGCGGACAAGTGGCCCTCCTCCAGCCCCGACCCCAACCCGCTGGGTTATTCTTTATGGACTGAATTAGAGTTCAGGGCCTGCCGAAAGGCCCATCCAAACTTAAGCGAACCCTTGTTCGAGAAGCAAATGCCGCCATTGATGATTGGCCAAATTGTCTAAGGGCCTATATTAAAAACAAGGGTGGTAATTTTGAATAAAATTGATTATTATCTATTTAATGATTACTGAAAGTTTTAGAAAGAAAAGTTAATTACTAAAAAAGTTACGCAACTTTTATTTCGTCTTAAAACTTATGAACAAACGAGGTATAAGAAAAAGTATCTTTACATTTACTTTCTTATTATTGAACAATGGTTAATATCAGAGTAAGCATATGCTTAGATCACATTCTGCAGATTCAGTCAAAATTATATTATTGAACAAATGACGTTTTATGATTGCATTGAACAGGGACTAAACAAACTTACTACCTTATACTACCGTCCCGAGCCTAAACTGCAGTAACAGCAAAAACAAGAAATCGAGAAAAACGCGCGTGAAGTTCAAATGTTATGTGTCTTTAAAAAATCACTGTTTATAATCAAATTTTGAATACAAAGTGTAAGATAAGTTAGAATACTGATAAATCATTCACGAATTTCATGAAAACATGATAAATAGATTATTTATAGCCATTAGATTTCTTTTTACCGCTATTACTGCACTCAGTTTTTTTGCTAAATTGTTTTTTAAACTATTTAAAATCCAGTAAAGTGAATTGTTACTGCATATTTATCAGTTTTGGTATTATAAAATCAAATTAAAAGTATGTCAAAATTGATATTGCATATTAAGTGATAATTTTAGTGTAATTTCAAATAAATTCACAAAATTTGGCGCTTTGATTTTTAAGGAACATATAAGCTATTACTGGTCGGAGAAAAAAATAAATACATTAGGCTTATAGGGTTTGAATTGGGCTTTCAGATGATATGGAAAACTTAAAAACACAAATTTTTCTGTTACTACGGTATAGACTCGGGATATACTGGGCATTTATTTGATAAATATTACACCTGTATGAACCTCACATTAGCTTGAACTTTATCAAGTATCTGTTAATTAATATTAACAACAGTCTATAATTCTATGGTTAGTAAGTTTATAAATTGTTTATAGGTACACTATCCATTACCCCATCGTTAGTTATTTAATATTTAACTCCATCCCAAGGTTGCCTGGAAGAGATCACTTTTAGTGATAAGGCTGCCAGTTGTGTGTGCAATAAAGAATACTCTATCTATCTAATTTATATCGTCCTCTTCTATGGCAATCATCCCATGATAAGTGTTCAAGTGCGTGCACCACTACACGGCGACGGAAGAAAAAAAAATCATCAGCGCACCTTGTCCTTTTTACAATTATTAGCTGTATTCTCGCAATTTTGCCCGTCTTAATAAAAACTTATGTCAATCGCTCATTTGGGAATATGTGAAAGATATTTTAACTTGGCATTATGTATCAAAAAGAAAAAGAAAATCTAGACCATTTAAATCCCCTTCGATCGCAAACTCAACGTCGTGACTTCCGAACCGTTAAAATGTCACAAATCCCCACTTGCACCCTTATTGAAAGCAGTATCAATCTTATTAAAAGTAGGATGAAACTTTCGAACGGTTAATCAAAGTTCGAGGAGATTTTGGCGAGAACTCGTTAGTCTTTTGTAACATAATATCACATTGTTTTAGTTTTAGGAGCGGATCAATGAATTTAAATGAACACCGTGGCTTCTTTGTTATTCAGCGCCAAAACATTGCACTTGAATATATTGATGGTTAATTCATATTCTTTTATAATAGTATGTTTAATAAAGTCCTATTATTAATTTTAAAATCACGTTGCCATTCGCTATTCAAACGATTGTATTACATCTGAAAAAGTCTTTGATATCGTTGAAGTACAGTCAGCAAGCGCAACATCAACAAAGAACTAGGTCATTAGGGTGACTACAATTTTAGCGAAACTTGCACCTAACTTTTTTATTGTGAGTCTCAGCTAAAGAGTTTGAAGCCCTCCAAATAATATTAACCCCAAATAACTTTGTTCCTTATTCATGAGAACAGTTAATTATGTTAACAATCTCAGTGTGAAAGTTATCTTTCAGATACTTAGCAAGATTAAGAAATACGAATGAGTTACACGGGTTACTTTCAAAGACTGTCTATCAATCTGTTCACTCCCAATTTATAATTTATATAAAGTATTAAAATTTTGAAACCAAACATATTGTAATAAAATTATGTAATAATATATTTCCTAATCATATTGCGTAATAAGCCGTTTGACAGTTTTGTCTTCTCTTTTCTCCCGACTTTGTTTTTGTGTCCCCTTTCTAAGAAAACATTGTCACCCTAATAGTAGCGGCTATCCGATACTTAACGAGTCAGCACTCGTGACTTGTGGGATAGCAACTATCTCATGCAGTTTATTACTGTTATTGCCTCACAGATTTCAGTTTTTATTACATCATTATTCGTAAAGAGTTGTCACATCATTAAGAAAATAGTTTTTTATTAATATTGCAATTGTAGTATCAAGACTAAAGAAATTGTGGCTTACGGTACTTTTAAACTTCGATACCACTTTTGGAGAAACAGGTATGTAAAGAGTCCTTTTTATTCTTAATGAAAAAAGGTTAAAAAACTACTTTGTCCCTGGTACTCTGAGATGGGACTCCAACCCATGACCTTTCATAATCTAGGCTACTGCTTTAACCACTGAGCTACCCAGGACTTAACAGGACTGACGAATTTTCAAGCACTTGATACTTTTTCACTACTACAGAGCGTATTTTCATCAATGTTCAGGCAATCTACCCAAACAGCGGAAATAAATATTTTTACAATTATATAAATTTACGGTAAAGATGAAAATTTGTTCTAATTATTATATTTGAGTATAGTATTGGGAATGCAAAATTGATCAAATATAATAATAAGTCCTTTTTATTTATTCCCTAAGCACAACATTCTCCACAAAAGATAACTGAGTTAACTTTTAAGAAACAAATATGCGTGCTATATTTATTATTCGTAAGTTCTTCTTCTTTTTTAATTAATGGCTTATCTGCACATTTCGCGCAATTCTGCCAATGTCAAGTAAATTAATTAATTTTTACATGTAAAATGAAAATGAAATGAATGAAAGATGGCGATGATCTATCATCACACGATTCACAAGAAATGCATTCGTAAGTTTTTTTGAGCTTTATGCGACAAATGACAGTTTTCTGCCTTTTTTCTTACTATGACGGGTAGAATGACAGAAGAAGGTTTTATTACCTCTCGCTTGAGAGTGGCATGTGGAGTCTGTATTAATATAAAATGGTGCCGACAGTATTTGAATAGTACATATAAAGCTACTTCAATGAATTTAATTTTTTTTTTAATCTACAAAAAATAAATTTAATTTTAAATCTACAAAAAATATCTCAGGAAGATTTCATGATAATAAATTATAATGTAATTATATAAGTCCCAAAAATGTAAAAACGGTGCTTCAAAAGCCGTTAATTAAGTAATTGCTGTATAAAGTCGAACATTCTATAATATATTGATTATTTTCAATCTTCGCTGTCTTATAAAAAAATCGGTAAATTTGTTACCTAATTTTACTGCATATAAATCTACAGATAATAATGGGAGCCAGTGAATAATACTAAGTGAATTATCTTCTAAGTAATGTTTAATGTAAGAAGAGACAACAATTTACGTGTGTGCAAACGGACATGAAAATTTATTGCGTATTAATTAACAGACGACATTATTTAGCGAGTTCAAACTCTCTGCCTATGGCTACGCTTTAGTGACCTTTCTATTTATAATAAATATCAATATATATTCTCTACAATAATGTTGCCAGGCGTTAGGATAATGCTGGACATAGGTAGGCTTTTTGATTGCGTGTCCTACTTGTCTGGCTTTAGTTAAGCTTTTGACATTGCGCGAACGAGCGAGCGCCAAGTGTGGCCGAGTGCAGGCTAGTCGACAGATTTATGACAATAATAAAAGTTTTTGTCATACCTATAAATATAAAGACAAAATCCTCAATAATGTAGGGTGTCCGGCCTTTCTGCCCAAATGTCTGGCCAAACTGGCTGGTCTGTCCGGCTATTAGATTTGACGATCTGGTAACCCTATCTACATACCATTTAAGGTCTGGTGTGGAAATGTACCAATATATATCTATATGAGTAGATTGCCTCAAATGAGAGGTTTAGAAACCCTCGATGTTAAAGCCTGAGAATTATATCACATTACATTAATTAAATTACTTCCAGATGACTGACAATCTGTTACAGATCGATTTAATGTGAATGTGACTACCTTAATATTATATTATATATATATATATAGTAAAAATCTCATTGAGTTATAATAAACCTTTGTCAAACTGTTGGAATTAACACTGTTTTTAGTTTTTTTAATACTTTTATTATTAAAGAAAACTAAATAGTTTAAAAGTAGTACTAAAGTTAGTTCTCGTTTTATAAGACTGAAATAAAATACATTACAAAAATATTGCCGGTTATTTTACAAAGAAGAAAATAAATAAATATTTTTTTGCTTGTAAGCAAATTTCTGAAAAGTAAGTATTATTTTCGAGTTGTGATTATATTATAGTGTTGCATATATTATGGACTCAGTATTTACAAATATAAGGTCATTAAACACAAGTTAGTTTTTCGTCTATGAATATTTATTTCTGAAGGTCTGTATTGGGGCAGATTTGAACAAAATCACTGGGGCACTTTTGAACAAAAATTTTCAAAAGTGGTCAAATTGCTTTTGAATAAAATGTTCAACAGTGCACATAAATAAAACATGGGTATTTATTTTATGAAAATTAAGTATCTTAATGGGTTAATTTTGTATTGTCTTTACTGTCATAATGGTACGAAATTATAAAAAGAAAAAAGAAAATGACGAAGAAGATGCACAACGAGCTGCTTTTTTTTGCGTTATCAACGACGGCATGAAGCTGAGGATCGCTGCTGCAATATACAACATAAAACCAACTACTTTATTTTGTAGAGTCAAAAAATATAAGGAGAATATAACTCCTAAAAATGAAAAATATTGTAGCAAACACACTGTGCATCAAGTTTTCACAAACGATGAAGAGAGCATGCTGGAAAAGTACTTTCTAAAAATGTCTAAAATTAATTATGCTCTTGTGTATTGTAAACTGGATAAATAACAATATTGCGGGTATTGAATGGATGAAAAACTTTTTGAAAAAAGGCACTCAGTATTATCTTTGCGAAAACCTGAAAATACTAGCCTTTCTCGCTCAACAAGCTTTAATAAAAAGTTGTTTCATTTTTCATAATTATTTTTTTATAGCCATTAAGGTTAATTAGTTTGTTTATTTTATATTTAACATGTTTTAAATTCCTTCCGGAGGATTTTTGAAATGTTGTATTTTTTGAGATACTTATGAATGTTATTACTTTTTACTATTGTTTCGCAGTATCTTATTTGATCTCGGTTGTAACTATAAGTTTGTTACTCTTGTTCAAGACTGCCCCAGGTGGTTTTGAGTTTTATATAGTTTATGCAATTAAAATTTATTCTAAGAAATAAATGAAAGTGTAATATGATACTATTAGATACAAATAACATAAATATACTGTTGATTATATTCTTAGTTACATGGTTTTCATTTTATCATGGTTTTTCTAAACTGCCCCAATGCATTTCAAATATGCCCCATCCACGGGGCACATTTGAACAAAATTGAGTTTAAAAAACAGAAATTTTGTTACATTTAACAAGTCAAAATAAATAAATATCATTTTTTTTATGTAGCATAAGACCCATATCTAATATTAAAATAAATTAAATCTTGATTGGTAATACCATACAAGAAATATTATATTTTATTTAAAAAGTGTTCTAATGTGCCCCCCTCTCCCCTAGGCGGTTTTTGGGTTCTACTCTGTGAGATTAATGGACATATCTACCCAATGGGTCCTCACTCAGGGATCTACCCTTTTAAAACGTTATCATATGCTCTCCTTCAGAAATAACACCCAAGAGTCCACCTTTGACTTTCCGGAATATGCATACTATGCTATTCATTGAGAATTAAAATTTATTATTGTATACGCTTTGCCTGAAATACTAAAGAAGAGAGAAGAGAAAATATAACAAAAACTAATATATTTCAAAACATGTTTCCCTTTTGGGGAAGGTCAAATATAAGTTTTTTTATGAAAAAACTCTGTGTAGAGATTAGCACGCTCGGTCTGCTATACAATTGTTAAGCAAATTTGGCAATGGCTGGTTATGAGATTGGTGACCAAAAATTTACTATCTCGAGCTCTTCCGTGCTTTGAAAGGCACGTTAAGTTGTTGCTCCCGGCTGCATCTATGTCGTTAACATCCACCAAACGGAACGGGGCTCGCGTGGTGGGTCATGACCCTTTCGTATTCCATTCAAATCCATCCATGGAGTCTGAGCCCTAGTAGTGAATAACATTAATGGGCTGGCGATGATGACGATGAAAAAACAATGTATCTTATATAGACTAATTCAAACCCCCTTTTAACAAAAATCATACAAATTAATAATAGCAATATTGGCATTTCTATTATGTATGTATTTCAATTTTATGTTTGTTATAATAATTATAAGTATCTATTAGGTATCCAGAAGGTAACAGATCCAGTCAATTAGCAAAATTCATGATTTAAAAAGTGTATCCCTTAAATTAACTGAATAAAATCCTTTTTGGCGTACCGAGTATTAGCATACCTCACAACGAAAGCAAGACCCCAATCAAAGACTGTTTCCGACATATGCAATCAACCTTACACAGAGGGAAACCAAATTGGTTTATAGCGGTTACCTCTTTGAAATATTTGATGGTCAATTTATATAGCCCGTGGTGAGGTAAAGATTTAGAATCATCCCATCGCTTATTTTAATGTGAAAATAAAGATTCAAAGAAGTTTTACTTTATGTTCTTTTCCTAAGTTGTTGCCGACTTAGAAAAAGAACATAAATTATATATTAAAGCTTTTTTTTTATGGTTTTGATAATTTCTTTTGTTATAATTATAACCTTAATTTGTAAACATTATTTTAGTGTTTGGTATGGGTGGAACAAAACTCGAATATTTTTTAATATAATACATGTATATAATCAAAGTATAAACCATTAATATCTATGCACTTTTATCTTCTTCATTGATCCCCTTACTAAAAAAACCATTCGGAAGGGAATCAATAAAATCTTTGAAGCCGAGTTGCACTACCCCATCAGAGTTGAATTTTTTCCCTTGCAAGAAGTTATCCCAATTTCGAAAAAAAATGGTAATCTGTTGGAACAGGGTCCGGGAGTATGGTGGATGTCTTAGATATTCCAATTGAAGCTCTTCCAATTTGGTAGCCGTCTGTTGTGCAGTGTGTGATCTACCGTTGTCGTGGAGTAGCAGTGACATAGAGCGATTGACCAACCTCGGTTGTTCAACAGCTAGTTTTTCCAGCATGGTTGGCAATTGCTGGCAATAGACGTCTGCCATAATCGTCTAACCAGATTAGAGAAAACTATAATGAACGACACCGACACAAGTCCATCAAAAGTTACTTGTAACCGGCACTAGTTACAAGTAACTTTTTTGGGGTCAATTTTCGCTTGGGGTAGGATTTGGCTGGCATGCCAGGGTCCGACCATTGCGATCAGTGCTTCCGATTATCGTAGAGAATCCACTTTTCATCACAGGTAATGATTCGGATTTAAAAATCCTTCATTATTGTGCCGGTTAAGTAATATAACGCAGTAGTCGAAGCGCGTTTGCCGGTTTGCTTCACTCAATTCGTGAGGTACCCACCTTTCAAGCTTTTTAATCTTTCCAATTTGCTTCAAGTGGATTAAAACAGTTTTATCACTAACACCGCAGCTTGCAGCTAACTCGGACGTTGTTTGCGACGGATCAAATTTCATATGTAAGGACCTAATATTAGTAAATTTATTCACAAACTGTACATTTATTCACAATAAAAGATCATTGACCTCCGCCTCGTGTACAGAAGTATATGAACAGTATTTTATGTGGCAACGTGTTTATTGTCATCGATTTTATATATTTCTCTCCGATATTATAAAATTTTAACACCGTAATTTTTCTAGACAAGTTTTATTTAATTACCATAAATGACTGAGAGTGATTTGGTCACCCTATTTCAGTTTCTCGACACCTTTCGACGCGCATATGCAACGCTCTATTGTTTCTCTTTTATTCCTGTAATAAATACAGGTTAAAATTTTGACTTATAATTAAATGATATTAATAACTTTGGAACTCAATAGCGCAGTGTTATACGCATTCAGTCTGGAATGCAAAGAAACTTTCCCAAAGACTGGGTATAGGATGGGTGGTTCCACCGTGCTTTAAAAAGTATATTACGTCATTGATGCTGACACATTCTACAGTCATTTACAGTGATCAATCTGCACTAAGCCTCCGTGATGGGACATTGATCTCCCTATTTCATTTAATTCATAGGGAAGGCTTGAGCACCACAACTGGGGAAATTAATAGGATGATGATGATGACACAATATTAACCACAGCTCTCTACTACAAACCAAAAAATTAAAACAAATATTCTTATATTTACAAAATACGTGTGCAAAATACGGAAGAAGTGTTTCAATTTCATCTCATCAAAATCTCAAATACAAAATATTTGCCTCCAATATAAAATGACGCCTTTCACCACCATTTACGGAAACCTACAGTCGAATTTCAACGTTACACTCATATTTTATTTATAGATTCATTGTTTATTTTTTCGAAACATTTTTGAGCTTCGCGAAATATTATTATGAAAATAACAATCGTAAGAATAAGTCAAGTTTTATATTATCTTTTGTCATTTTATTCATCGTAGGTTCTTTTCTTATAAGGTTATACATAAAAAGTTTGTTTCGTTACAATCAAACACAAGTTATAATCGTTTTTAAATAAAAAGGGACTCGATATTATATCCGCGTATAAGTTAATATGATAAATGTGGGAAAGCTTAGCATTACTTATTCACCATAAAATTTTTCGTCAATAAGATTCTGTTTGCATTTCATCATCAATAGACGTTAGCGTGCAAATTATTTAACCTGCACACCTGTGTATCTGTGCTTTTAGCTAAAAACTTTAATGCATATAACTTAGTATATGTAAAAAACAGATTATTTTAATAGATTTTCATACAGTACAAGCTCTAATTATTATTTATAACCCTTTAATTGTTATCCATTAGGTCCTAGCCTTCATTTTTATAAAATCATAATCAATACAGTTTATAATTTGCTTTAAAAATCATTTAAATAACTGAACAGATTAGTAATATAATAAAAATAATTAGCGTTAAAGGGAATATTCAAACACGCCTAATTGTATTAGAATACTATGCCGCTTTTCTTATTTGTAATAGTTAAATTAATATGCGCTTATTATTGAGTAAATCATTAACACTTTCCGCATATGTAAATACCTGTAACAAACTTGAAATAATTTTAATATTATAGGCAAAAAAAGAGTATATTTTAACGAAAAGTGAAAGAACATTTTGTAATAATAATATTCTAAAATTATTATGTTCAAAAATATTGAAGAAACCATACCGCTTATAAGAATACAGGTAAGTGTAATGTTTTTTTTTTATTCAAGAAAATAATTTCCACCTTTTTTTGTTAAACAACTTTCAATTTTAATTATGCACGAAAAATGTATGCATGGGTCTAAACAATTCCACAATACGCTAGCATGAAAAATTTTCGTATTGACGTAATTTACTAAATCACGAAATAATTTTATGCCTCGGTAAACAAATTATTATTATAATATTACTTAAGTTTACATTGATATTTGCAGTGGTGCTAACTATATTAACTTATAGAAATACCAGTAGTACTAGGAATCGAACGGAATACTTTCCACAATTCGTTTTAACCACTTCACTACAGTCGCATTGCTTTGAAATTTAACCTAATTCGGTGAAACAAAAAGATTTATGATAATAAATAATTTTATGTATAACAGATAGAGCAGAGGCGTTAGGCCTCTAACTGTCCTTTGATTATAAAAAGAAAGAAGAAAGCGCTACCGCAGCTATATCACCCTACTCGCGCATTCGAGTTAGCGCTAAAAAATATACGTTCAGTTTCACAAACGTCCATTAAGGTTTAATGACGCCTTCAAGTTCTAATAAATCTTAAATTTGTTTGGATTTGTTTGGCTTTATAAACTAATGTCAATTTTAATGGACGTTTGTGCAATTGGCTGATAGAGAGATGCCAACTTTAAAATTATTATTTTTCAAATCCTGCAAACGCACTTAAATTTTAATATGTTTTTAACACTGAATAAAAGTTTGTTGCTGTTATAATAATAAAACATTTCATGGAACTACTTCCAAAAATTTGTGGATTCCCCAGATTATGCTACGATCGTCTATGGCTTATAACTTTAACAAAACTAAGTTACAACTTAGTGTTGACGACGTAAATTAACCTTTTTGTCTACAACATTAAATATAATTGAGACTGTTTCACAAATAACAACTTATGAAGAACAAAATCCAGAGCTATAAAAGTACATCATATATTTTATACAATGTAAAATAATATAAACAGAAATTTTATGATGATTTTGTTCTACTTTCACTGTTTTTGAGTTTTATAAAATAAACATGAGTTTATAGACGATCTCAACTAATTGAAACAGGGTCAATAGAACTTTGGTTAAACCAAATGTTTCAATAAGTAGTAGTAGTAATTTGTTTCGTCCATGGGAGAGGCGACGGAACTTAGCCATACTGCCAAATCTCGAGTACGGAATTGAAAAATTATGATGCAAAGGCATAGCTCTCATACAGCCATTCTTTTCACAGGCTGAAGAGGGAACTAGTCGAAACTCCGAGGGCGAAGACAATGATGGAAGCGACATCAACGCTGGCTCCTCCAGGGTATTGTCCGCAGCCACGTCTAGAGAAGAGGACGACGATTCCAGTAACAATGTCAGCAGCGAGAGCAAAAGTCCAGGACAAAGGTTGGTATCCATTTTCGTGCGCATACTCTAATAGATCGTAAAATATATTAGATTTTATAAAAGTGTTAGAGACAACACTGTAATAGGAGACAGTCAAAGACATGACTTTATCTCTCGAAAATAAATACTACATGTATTATATATTTGACGAATATTATATATTTCACATAGAAAGGATAACCTTCTAGCTTAAATTTTAAGAAATAGTGATTAATGTACAGGAAACTTAGTTGTATCTTGGACTGATTTTTATATGTTTTTCATATTAAAATAAAAACATGTAAAAGGTATTTATAAGAGATAATTATTTAACTGTTACAACTCGTTAATAAAATCTATGAATCTTTACAGATTCAAATTTTATATATATTTTTTTTGTTATGTTATAAACAAGGAGAATCTGTCCAAGGTACAAGAATCTTAACGTAGCTGGGGTCATCCTGTTAATAATACATAATCAATAATTGACATGTTAGTCTTATATTACTGGACATCTCCAGTGATATCCAGATCCAGATGTCAATTGGTAGGCCAAAGTACAATTCTTTAAACACACTTAGACTGAGATGATTAGTTACGAACACTTAAAACTTCAATTAAATCATAAATGAGTATATATAACTTATAAATAAAAATTAGCTCGGTGGCGTAGTGGATAAGTGCCGCGACCCGCGATCGTTGTCGTTAAGCAACTTTCGATAGGGTCAGTCACGGGATGGGTGACAAAAATTATTATCTCGAGCTACTCCGTGCTTCGGAAGGCACGTTAAGCCGTTGGTCCCGGCTGCATTAGCAGTCGTTAATACCCTCCAATCCGTATTGGGCCAGCGTGGAGGGTCATGGCCCATCCTCCTTAACCATCCATAAGGAAGGCCTGAGCCCCTGCAGTGGGGACGTAAAAGGGCTGATGATGATGATGATGAAATAAAAATTGTTTTATACCGCTAAATAAGTAGGCAAAAATTTAATCCAAAGTTACAAAATCATAAATTAACTTTTTATATATGCTGATAAGATGTCAGATATCTTTTCAAAAAATGTTTCGACTGCGTAAAACATATAGTATTAAAGTTTCCAGACTTAAAAAAATTAAATATGAATGTTTGGATATAATATTGTATAAGTATTAAGGTACAATATGTTCCCGAACTACCCATGACCTTAAAAAAAAGGAAAAATAAATCCATAATTTTGTTATTATAGGTAATATGATATTTATCCTGCCCTATAGCTATTGTTTATTCTTTATTATGTTAGTCACAAATTTTTTTGAGTAGGCCTACTGCCTACTTAAAATAAATTTGTGTTGGTTGTAAGAAGGATTATTTCTACTCAAAGCAAGTCAAAAGAGTGAGGTAAAATTTATCATAACTAATGCTTCAACAATACATCAAACGATTCGATACTCAAACGACACTTCATTATGGTATCGGAAAATGCTGAACATGGCGGAGACGTGATATTGATCGTTGATAATTAGCATCAGACGCTTGAAAGCTTCCAATGAAACAACTTACTAGATAGATAATATATTATTTCGTATCGTTAAGATTTAACGCAAAGAATTAATGGTTTTAGCGCTTTGGCATTTTGGTGTAATTCTATTTTAATTTTAATGGTGCTTCTGCTGGAATTGCAATGGAATCCATTTTAATAAAAAAACAAAAAAGTGTAACTACTTTCTTTTACTATGAAATAAGAATGTTTAAAGAAAATCTAATTTTGAATTTAAAAGAACTACCATATAATATCAATATCTATATCCCACGACTTCGATCGTGTAAATCATTATGTCAGCGGCGTATAATGTACCGTAGGTGAAAGAATTCTTAAAGTCGGCCTAGTTGTTGCGGACATATTCCCCGGTAGTGGGGCCATTTTTAGGCTGTTGATGATGATAGTGATAAAAATTGGTCGTTAAAAGGGATTAGATAAAATATAATTACCTATTTTTATTCATCGTAAATCCAAGGTGCCGTTGCCAAAGATTGTCAGTTACAATTATTGACGATTTAAACACAGCATGCTATGCAAACAAATAAATTGATTGTCGTGATGGAGAAATAAAAGATTTGTAAATACTGTTTAAAGACAGTGTCATTTTATGATTACAAACATATTAGATCCTTGTCTTGGAAAGAATATGTAAAATAATCACGTTTTATCAGGATTATAATTAACTGAAAGATATTATTTATTGTAAAATTAACACGATTTTTTTTTAATTCAATTAATTACAAACGATTAAAGGCTAATGACAGACAGACAGTTAAGGAACGAAAGAACTGACGGACTAAACAGTTGATGTATTGATGTTCTAATGAACCGACAGATATACAGACAGCGGAGTCGATTTGTTAGGATTCCATTATCAGCTTTGGGTTACGAAGCTTTAAAAACTGCCAAATATATGACTGTATTATAGATGTTATTTTTACTAACAAACAGCATATTAACGATTCTTTAGAAACCAGACCTACGTCTAGTTTCCAAAAAAGTCTTTAATACGAATAAGACCTTTTTTACTGTGGAACTTTTTGTTCGTGTACAAACTTTTTGTATTTACCTTTAAATAAAGAAAATCCCTGTTCAATATAAAACCGAAAAAAGCAACCTTTATATTAATTATAAACGTGGATTTGGAATTGTTGTTGACGTCTGTTGTAAGTGCTTTTAAAAGCCCGGCTATATTAAATAAACGTTTTTCTGTAACACAGTGATCATATCACTATATTATACAGGTAATTAACATATAATGTAGATGCATTACAATATTTTTTATTTAAAAACATTACTACTGATACGTAAAAAAAAAATAGGGCATTAACTAAAAATATTCGTTAAAAAAGGTAAACGTTAAAAGCCACTGGTTTAGATCATAGTTTTAATATATTCACAAATACAGCAAAATATTTTATTGTGTAACACATATAATAGAAATTATAACGGTAAGAACAAAAGAAATTTCGCGAATAGTAAACCAGCAATTTAACTATGCTGTAGAAAATTATTAGAAAGAAATCTCATGTCATTGGAGGAAAAGTTGCTAGAATATTTTATGGCAATAAGTTGGCTACGAAACAATAATTCTTTTAAGAAGTCAATCAGTTTTTAGATAACGATATGATTTATTTGTCGGAAATCCTCCATATTGAGTCAATTCCATAGTAAAAACAAAGTCGGTCCACACTGTCGGTACGCTGAGATTTTTAAACTACACAACGGATTATAATACGGTTTTCATCAATATACAGAGTGACTCAAGAGGAGGGAAGGGAAGAAGAATTATTAAATTGCAAAGTTTGGGTTAGAGAAGGTGCGTACACCAAAAAACACTAACCTTCAACCGATTTTTTTTTAAATAATGTATTAATAAGTTGTAACTAAAAATAACGAAACTACATCATATTTCTAAGGGTTCACACACCCAAAATTTCGATTAATACAAAATTTTCTATATGAATCAATAGCAAATTTACCCCTTAAATTCATTTCTTAGTGTAATTAGACTCATTTTTATATGAAACTTTTATAAATATATAAGTAATTTTATAGCTGACAGAATTATGCATTAAAATAATCATAATAGTTTGTAAATAATTAAAAAAACTGCTTTTTGACGCGCAATTCGCTTTCCTCGGTCCCTTCTTTGTGCTTTATGATCCCATTTAATATATGACATGAAAAAACTTTGCCAAACAAGTGCTAGTGACAGCTCTATCTATTTGGTACGTAATAAAATAACTTTACCCGTTTTCACGGAAATCGTGCAGAGGAGTATGAAATTTAGCACGCTTAAAGTTATTATGATTTTCTTTTGATTTATTTTGATTTTCTTTAAATTATTTATTTTTATTTTATACTTTTTAGTTACGATTCGTTGACTTCGTTATAAGATGGTAAATTTCGCAATGTAGTCTTTTTATTGAGGGAGTTAACATGGTTTGTTAAACAACTTTAAATCGTTATATATCCTAAACTATTATTTAAAATGATAAATGATAAAAAGAACCTAAAAATGATTTTAAAATACCTATTAAATGACACCCCACTTGACACAGTTCATAAATTTATTTTTTCATTTTGACAATATGGCGTCTGGTTGTCGCTGAGGTGAATTTTGATTACTGTCATGTCTTTAGTGACACTCGCAAGGTTAAGACGAATCGATTGACATAAGAATCCTCAAAATCGACCTACGCATTTGGTCTCTAGAACGCCACATAGAAACAAACATACATACATAGACTGATAAACACATTACCCTCCCTTGCGTCGCGCAGTCGGGTAAAAAGAAGCGCACAATGCAATTATTTTAAGCTAATTTCAACCATTATGCGATCGCTAATAGTTATGAAATACAAGCTACGTGTAACCACTGCATCTAGAATGTCTGAAGAGAGTTTCTTAAATAAAGGACTGAAAGTTTTGTGACAATTTTCCATATCTATATAATTACATAGTATAAAACAAATCCGCTTCCAGTATATCTTTTAAACATCAATATGGATTTTAATCGTTTTTCGTCAATACATAGTAATTCAAGAGGGATGTTTATATGTATAATACAGAACCACGCGAGCAAAGCCGCTTGCACAAAACTAGTAATAAAATAAAGTAAATTATATAAAGTATAATAACAACTGTAAAAAGTTTTCAGTGATGTGCCGTCGGCAACAGGTCAATTTATAATTATGATGTCGATGAAAATATTTTACTTCCAACATTTTTCTTTATCTATCTCATCTTCAATGATACATCTTTTAAACAAACAAAAACTTTCCTATACCCTTTCTCTGAGTAGATTCAGGAATAAATTATGAAGTACCTACAATACCGTTGATCCTCGCAAGAACGCCCAGTTTCATGCAAATTACAACTTTCAGACATCGAAATATTGATAATTTGTCTTTAAATAGAAATTCTATAGAGAAAACACTTAGTTTTCTATAATATTGTTCCATAGCTGCCTAATATATAAATTAGTTGATTATGTCTAT